CATGATCATTATTTTCATTTTTATTATTATTATTATTATTATTATTATTATTATTATTATTATTATTATTATTATTATTATTATTATTATTATTATTATTATTATTATTATTATTATTATTATTATTATTATTATTATTATTATTATTATTATTATTATTATTATTATTATTATTATTATTATTATTATTATTAAATTCTTTTTTTAAATTTAAATTTAAATTCCTACCTAAATTCTTGTTCATATTCATGTTCATATTCATATTCATATTTAAATTCAAATTTAAATTTAAATTTAAATTTCTTGTCAAAGTAGCAGGTGAAATAGGAGATTTTGGAAGATGTTGTAATATAGAAGATTGATTTAATAATTTTGAAGATATCGCAGGTGAAGTGACTGGAGAAGACAAAATATTATTATTATTTTTATTATTATTTTTAGTTAAATTATCTTTAGCATTTTTTTCTTCTTTTCCTTCTCCTTCTTGATTTCCACTTTCATTTTCTCTATTTTTTTCTCTTTCTTCTTTTAACATTTCTACTTCTCTTTCATGTTTAACTTTTAAATAAACAATAAAATTCTCCAACATTTGAGACCATACACTATCTAATTCTTTGGAAATATATAAATCATAATTAAGAGCTTCAAGAAAATCCATTTGAATATTATTTACTTCTTTAATATCTAATCCTAATATTTTTGCCCACATAGAATTAGAATAAGTTCTATCATATAAATATTTAGAAGCAATAATAACTGAACCTAAAAACATTCTTCTACCACAAAAAAGTCTAATTTTTGATTTCCATCTTGGATCTTGAAGTTGTCGACTTATACGAATAAAATAAATAATAGAACATTTTAAAGTATATAAAGAAATTTTAGATTGTCGTATAACATGACTTAGATATTCATTTAATGGACATAGGCGAGGTTGTACAATTTGACTTGATCTCCATATAGATTCTAATAATATTTCCGTTATGTCTATAAAAAAAAATATTTTAAATTAAAATAAAAAAAAAAAAGAAAAGTTAATATGAAAGTATTAAATAATAAAATGATAGTATAAAAGATTTATATATAAATAAAATTTTTATAAAATAATATTATATATGATAAATAATAAATTGATATTATATAATATTTTTTATATCTAATGGATAATATTAATTTGAATTATTAATTATTAATTATTATGTATCATTAATTTTTTTTAAAAAAAAAAAAAAAAAAAAAAGTTTCAAAAACTTACCCACTAAATATTTCATAAGATTTTCATCTTGACATACAATAACTTCTTTTTCTACTTCTGGCATTTCATTATTTTGTTCTTGAATATCAGAACATTCAGTTTGAAATGTTTCATATTTATATTCCATGATAGATAGAATTTTATTATTATTATTATTATTATTATTATTATTATTATTATTATTATTATTATTATTATTATTATTATTATTATTATTATTATTATTACTATTATTATTATTATTATTATTATTATTATTATTATTATTATTATTATTATTATTATTATTATTATTATTATTATTATTATTATTATTATTATTATTATTATTATTATTATTAAAATTTATATTTTATGAATTTCGAAATTGTTTTTTTTTTTTTTTATTTTTAAGATATTTAATTAAAATTATTAAGTAATGAAATTTGGTTTGATAATGTTATAAAAATAAATTTCAATATTACTTTTTGATATATATAAATTAAATTATATTAAATTATATTGAATTTTACTATGTTTTATTATATTATATTATTATATTATATTATATTATATTATATTATATTAATTAGTTGTAATATTTTAAGTATTATATTAATTACTGTTACTGAATTATAAAAAAAAATTAAAATTAAAATTAAAATTAAAAAAGTTCTTGGTATTAATAAATAATAAGGTTAGCTATACTAAATATGTCGAGTTTTTTTTTTTTTTTTTATGTTTTATGTTTTATGTTTTATGTATAAGTATATATATGTACGTATGTTTTTTTTTTTTTTTAAAGTTTAAAGATTTTATTAAAAATGTTTTAATATTATATTATATTATATATAAATATATTATTATTTTAATTATATTAAAATGATTATATATTTAAAAAATATTATATATATGTAAATAATAGATAGTATTTAAATAGGTGTGAAAAAATTATATATTAATGAATATTAATATATAAAAAAATGGTATAATTAACATATAATAATATTTTAAAAATATATTTTATAAAATATAATTTTTTTTTTTTTTGATTTTTTTTTTTTTTTTTTTTGTTATAAATTAGTTATTTAATGTTTTTATATCATTTTACTATTTTCTTTTTCCTTTTAAATAGTGTTTTTTTTTTTTTTTTTTGTTTACTATTTAATATTAAAAAAAAATATATTTTTTTATTTGAAAATTAATAATATAATTATTATGTTTAAAAATATTTAAAAAAAAAATATTTTATAATAAATGTAAATATGATAAAAAAAAAATAAAAAAAAATAAAAATAAAAAAGTTATACACAAGTAATAAAAAAATAATAAAAAATAAAAGATATTTTTGGATAAAAAAAAATTTTTTTTTAAAAAAAAAATTTTTATGGAATAATAAAAAATTGATATAAATAATTAATTGTTTATGTAATAATGTTAGTATGTTAAATATATATATAGTTGTTTTTTGTTTTTTGTTTTTTGCTATTAGGTATTATCGATGATACATAAAAATGTCTTTTTAAAATTATAAATAAATAGAATATTTTTAATTTTTTTTGTTTTGATTATTTTTTTAAATATATAAAGAAAAAAAAATAAAAAATAATTAATATATTTATTATATTCACTTTTTTTTTTTTTTATTCTTTTTTCTTTTATTTATAATAAATAATTATTAAAAAAAAAATAAAAAAGAAATTTTTTTAAAAAAAAAAATAAATAAATTATTATTAATTTTTTTTAAAAAAAAAAATAAAAAAAGTTGAAAAAAAAATTTTTAATTATTTTTTAAAATCAAAAAAAAAAAAATAAACGAAAATAAAATAAAATATAAAAAAAGAGGAAAAACTTTGGTCTATTTATATAAAAAAAAAATTTTAAAAAAAAAAAATAAAGTAAAAAAATTAAATACAAAAAAAAAATAAAGTAAAAAAATAAAATAATAAAAAAAATAAAAAAATAAAAAATAAAGTAAATAAATAAATTAATTAATAAATAATAATAATAATAAAATAAAAATTTCTTTTTCTTTACATTATTTATTTATTTATTTATTAAAATTTATTTACTTTTTATTTAATTTTTTTACTTTATTTATTTACTTGTTTGTTTATTTATTTTTATATTTTTTTATTTATTTATTCATTGATTTTTAACATTTAAATAATAAATATATTAGCAAATATAATCAAATCAATATAAATATACTATAATTATTAATGGTTTTATTATATTTTAATTTTTTTACTTTTTTTTATTTAATAGAAATATAATTTATAATATATTTATTTTATTTAAATTTTAAATTCTTTTATATATTTTCTATACTATTTTAAATATATTACCAATATATACTACAAAAAAGTATAAAATAATAATAAAAAGAATAATAATAAAATAAAGTAATAAAAAAAAAAAAAAGTAATAAAATAAAATAAAATAAATAAATAAATAAATAAATAAATAATAAAATAAATGACATAATAATAATAAACGATTACATAATTTTTTTTTATTTTTTATTATTATTATAATTAATATAAAAAAAGAATAAAAACTTAAATTATTATTATTTTATTTTATATTATTTTAGTTGTACTTTCTTATTTATTATTTTATTATTATTTATTATTATTATATTTTATTATTATATTTTATTATTATATTATTATATTTGAATATTTATTATTTTTTTTAAAAAAAAAAAATTGATTTTTTAACTTATATCTATACTTACCTATTTTATATTAATGAATTAACCATTTTAATCATAAATTATAGAACATAATGAATACAAATATATTTCTAGAATCATATATTTCTATTCTTATTATATATTAATAATATAATAATATTATTGAATATTATATATTATTTTTTATATTTTGTTTAGGATATATATAATTTATATTATTCATTATATAATAATAATAAATTGATTATCTATTGAACTAATTTAATTCCTATAAAAATGTATATAATTTATAATATATTATAATTAATTAAAAATAAATAAATATAAAAAAGAAAGTTTAACTATAAATTGTATGGTATAAATAAAAGACATTAACATATATTACAATTTATTAAGCTATTAATATAACTAATATATATAATAAATTGAAATTAAAATTCTTTATATATAATAATATAATAAATAAATAAATAAAAGATTCTACTATTATTTTTTTTTAATATATAATTTTATTCTATGGGTTAATATATTAAATAAATTATCTATTAATCTTAATTTTAATATAAAAATATAATTACTATAAAAGTTTTCTTTTTTTTATTATTATTATTAAATTATTATAGTATCAAATAAATTGATTTCACTCAATTAGTAATATAAAAATTTATATTTATAAAATTTTTACTAAAAATTAATAATCTTATAGATAAAATTATCTAAGGAAAATAAAGCAAAAAAAATTTAATTTTTAAATACGGGCTGTTAGTTCAGTTGGATAGAACGCTTGACTACGGATCAAGAGGTCGCAGGTTCAAGTCCTGCATAGCTCGTTTTGATTTCGTGGTGTAGTCGGTTATCACGTCTGTCTAACACACAGACGGTCCCCGGTTCGAATCCGGGCGAAATCATTTTTACGTTTTTTATTTAATTTTTTCATTATTTTCTATTTGCTTTATTCATTTCCCATTTCAATCTTCAATTCATATATATTGATTAGTAGTAATATTAAAATTGCAACATATTAACTAAAATATTAACAATTTTTAAAAAAAAAATAAGAAAAAAGAATGCCAAGAGTGAGGTTCGAACTCACGCCTCTTTCGAGACCGCATCTTAAGTGCGGCGCCTTAGACCGACTCGGCCATCTTGGCTAAACATTGAAAAGTTATATAATTTTAAAAATTTTTAAGGTTTAAGTTACTTCAAGATTAGATATCACTTATTTTAAACGCCTTTAAATAGTTATTTCATATGCTAAAAAATATAAAATTGATTATAAAAATATTATCATTATTATTATTTTCAATAATTCAATAACATTATTAAATAATATTGACCTCATAAACAACATATATCAAATCTTATTTTTTGATTCTTTTCCATTTATTAATCCCATATACTTATTATAATATATATTAATATATAATGAATAATATAAATAAGCAATGATATAAATTTTGCTATTTTAAAGTATACATGTTAAAGATTTCATTATTTTTAATTTTAAATTATATATATGTATAATAAATTAATTGTATCGTTAGGTAATTAAAATTCTTTATTATTTGTTTATGTTTATTATTTTTTTTACAAATAATAAAAAAAATAATTAATATAAATAAAAATTAAAAATAGTCAATAATATATATTAACAATAAAATAAATTCAAATAATTTATTGATATATTATTATATATAATAATATATATACTATTTATGCTTTTATCAATTATATTACTACTACTACTATTATTATTATTAGTAGTAGTAGTAGTAGTAGTAATAGTAATAGTAATAGTACTGTTGTTGTTATCATTATTATTATTATTATGATTATTAGTCATTATTATTAACTATTACTACTTTTATTATTATTCAATTTATACATTTAAAACAGGAATATCTTTATGCAGATTTTGATATATAATATTGTATAAAAGAAAATCTAGACAAATTTCTTGAATTAAATTTTAACTTGAAATAACTACTTTTTTCCATGATTCATTAACAAAACTAATATTAAATATATGACATTAAAACTGTATATTTTCATATTATGGATATGTCTTTCTTTACAACTGAATTTGAAAAAAAACAACCAAGCATTGATGGTTTAGTGGTATAATTACCGCCTGCCACGCGGTAGACCCGGGTTCGATTCCCGGTCAATGCATGTTGCCTTCATGGCTCAGTCGGCAGAGCATCCCCCTAGTAAGGGGAAGGTCATCGGTTCGATTCCGATTGAAGGCACTTTTTTTGCTTTTTTTCTTCCTTTAGTTCATTTATACATATATAAATGCATTCCTTTTATATTTATAATATATATCTGCATTCTCTTTTCATTTTTTATTTTATTTTCTCTTTTTATAAAAAGTCATTAGTATAAATAACTATTTATTTACACTACATAATATTTAATATTTATCAATTACATATGATAGTCACATATTTAATGATTTTATAAGATTTGATTACTTAAAACTATAATTTATAAATCAAACACTAATGAAATTAGCCATATACTAATACTAATTTTATTTATATTATTAATATTTATATTTACATAATAATAGATATTTGTATTTTTATATTAATAAAAAAAATTTTTAAACGATTTAATAATTTTTAGTTTCAAAATCATTTAATATTGTTTTTGAGGGACTTGTTAGTAATTTAAAATTAACGTAATGTGAAATAAGGCTCATTGGTCTAGTAGTATGATTCTCGCTTTGGGTGCGAGAGGTCCCGGGTTCAATTCCCGGATGAGCCCCTTCTTTTTTTTTTTTTTTTTTTAGTATTCTTAATTTTTAAATACTACCTTCATTTCATTCCTTTTTAACTAAATAAAGATCTATTTACATATAACACATATAATTTTATTATAATTAAATCATTTCAACTTTAACTATATAAATACTCACTTAATAGACAATCAAATATTATATTTAAAATCATAAAATAACAGTATTATATTTATTTATTGTATTTTATTTTATTTATGATTTATTTATTTATCATTTGTTTATTTACGCATTTATTATTAATAGCTAATAATCTTTTTACTTCAATTTATTAAAAAAACTAAAATTATTATTACACTACTTTTTTTTCATATGATTGATTTAATTATAATTATTAAATATTAAAATTTAATATATAAAAAATAATATAAAAAAAATTATTTAATAATAATACCTACAAAAATAGTGTATTTATTATCAAACATTAGATTCGGTTCTATAGTGTAGCGGTTAGCACATTGGACTTTGAATCCAATAACTCGAGTTCAAATCTCGATAGGACCTTTTTTTTTTAAAAAAAAAAATTATAAATCCTCTTTTTAAATATAAATAAATTGTTGTTTACATTATAAAAACTTTTTTTTCTCAGTACTACTAATAAATTTTTCTATACTTATATAAATATACAACAATATTATTTCTAATTAATATATATTTATAAAATTAAATAATTTTAATTTTATAAAATAATAATTATATACAAAATCAAAAAAGAAAATAAAAGGTGATCCTCCCAGGCGGGGAATTGAACCCCGGTCTCCCGCGTGACAGGCGGGGATACTCACCACTATACTACCTGGGATGTCTTATTTTATTCTTACAATCTATCCTGTCATATCCTCTAATTTTACGAATTTATTTATGAATACTTTTAATTTCCATTTTGCAACATTAAACTGACCTTTAATTTGTATTTAAATAAAATATTATAATTATTAAAATATATGTATATATCTAACTAATAAAAACATTATATATTATATATACTAATTTATAAATAATTAAAATTAATGCTGTAAATTTACATTTATATATAAATTTGATATACATATTCATATAATTCATATGATCTTCATATATTTTATATAAAACTAATACTCAAAATCAATATTACAAATAAATATGATTAAATATATTATTATTTTATCTCTTCATTTATTTCCTATATATTACTGCTTTGTTTCTATACTTATTTATTAATTATCTACAATGAATTAGAAAATAGGTTTGTTGTTTTAAATATGATAACCTTTTTATACGTATAAATAATTTATATCTTTTTATTTTTACATTTTTAAATAACTTCCATTAGTTTAACTTATTCCTTTGTTTATTTTTTAGCTTATTGAGTTCCATGATTTCTCTTAATACATATAAATCAATTATAATCATATTTGAAATAATTGATAATAAATTAGTGGAAAATCTTAAAATCAACATTTAACACTATAAACATTAATTTATATATAATAATATATATGTAAATAAATCTTATTTTCTTGTTGTTTATTTTTATTTGCTATTTATTAATCATTATTTATTTATATACCTTTTTCTTGATTTTATGAGCATAAATATTATTTTTTATATAATATTGGGTTTTTCTCTTAAGTTATTTCGTTTTTTTTTTTTTTTTTCTATGCTTCATTTTACAGTTTAATATACTATAAATGATTACTTAGTATTATATATAATGATACATATTTATATATATAACATATATAATATATAATATATATAATTTTTTAATAATTCCCAAACCCTATTTAGCCTATAATTTAAGCAGGCTCTGTTAGCTCAGTCGGTTAGAGCGTGGTGCTAATAACGCCAAGGTCGCAGGTTCGACCCCTGCACAGAGCAAAGATGCCCGGCTAGCTCAATCGGTAGAGCGTGAGACTCTTAATCTCAAGGTTGTGGGTTCGACCCCCACGTTGGGCGCTTTTTTTATTTCTTTTAGTGGTATGTAAGTAGTTACTTTATGAAATAAAATAAAAAAGTAATACAATTCAAAAAATAACAGCAATATGTAGCAAAGAAGTGAAACAAAATAAAATAAAATAAAACAAAATAAATTATGACATTATTTAATTATTTTAATTACTTTAATTATTTTATTATTTTATTATATTATTTCAACCTCTATGAATCATCTAATTAAATATAAAGGTAAAGTATTATAATATAATTACAATGTGTAATTAAATTAGCATTACGAAATTAATCAAAAAATAAACATTACATATTATTATTAATATGATTTGATTTAATTAGTTACTATTAATTAATTATTAACGTGGTAAGTAAATTGATTCTTTATACTTTTCTTTTTTTTTATACAATTATTTTTTTATTATTCTTCAAAATATTTTTTTAATAGGATAAGTTGAGATTTAAAAGCAATAATATACTATTCAAATAAATTTTTAATTTAAGATTTAAAATTATTCAGGTAAGTATATCAAGAAAAAAAATTTAAAACAGGGAAAGACGAGGCTAGAAAGTGTAGCCCTGTTAGCTCAGTTGGTAGAGCGTGCGGCTTTTAACCGCAAGGTCGGGGGTTCGAGCCCCCCATAGGGCGTAGCTCTTATGGCGCAATTGGCTAGCGCGTTCGGCTGTTAACCGAGAGGTTGGTGGTTCAAGCCCACCTAGGAGCGTTCCTTTTTAGTTTTCTTATTTTTTAAATAGATTATTTTTAATAACAAGCATATCTCTTATATATAAAACATCAATGACAATATATTATTACATATTATATAAAACTATAGAAAAAGAAAGGAAAACAAACTAATAATTCTGATTTACATTATATTCAAAATAAGTAATATGGAAAAATTATAGAGTAATAAATAAATGATAAAAATATTATAATATTTATATTAATTTTATTATTAACTAACAATTCCAAAAAAAAAAAAAAACTGTAAATTGATTATAAACACAAGGATAAAATATCTATATATAACATTCAAAAAACATTTAATAAACAATTAATAATGTAAATAAAAAAAGATTAAAATGGAGAATCCGGGCGTCGATCCCGGTGCCTCTCGCATGCTAAGCGAGCGCTCTACCATTTGAGCTAATTCCCCTTTTACAGTAATTTTTAAATATTGTCTTTATTTGTGCTAACTAAATATTTTTAAAGTAATTTTAATTAATACGTTGAATAATTAATTTTTAATTACAATTTATAAGAATCAAATAACATTTATAAAACTTATTGATAATTAACAAATCACTTTCAAAAATAAAATAATAAAGAAAAGAATGTAATATATCTAATCATTTTTTTATAAAAAAAATTAAAATAAAAAAAAAATAATTATTTTATCTCTCAAAATTATTAATATTCAATATCTAATTAATTCTTTTTACTATATTAACCAATAAATAAATACTTGAAATGAATTTATATACATAAATATCAAATTAAAAGCAAAATTATATTTAATAAATAATAAAATAATTAATATTATCAATATACTTTCCTATAAATATGGTAGTATCATGTTGTTTTTATAATATTTTCAATATATAATATATTATATATTATATATATGTTAATAAAAAAACCAATAATGATAATAATAGTAATAGCTATAATAATTAATATTAATGTTGATATTAATTATATAATAATAATGATAATAGTGGTAAAAGTAATAGTAATAGTAATAGTAATAATAGTAATAATAATAGTAATAGTAATGATGATGATGATGATATACACAATAGTAATGGAAATAATGATAATAGAAATAATAATAATAAATAATAAAGAGTAAAAAGTAAAGAATAATGAGTAGAAAATAAAAATAAAAAAATAATATAATTTATATACATATAAAAAAATCAAAAAATTAATAATAATATGTAAAAATAAAAAGTGCCGTTCCCAGGATTCGAACCTGGGTCGAGTCGGCCACAACGACTTATACTAAACCACTATACGAGAACGGCCAAAATCATTTTATAATTAATGGCATCAAAAGTAAAAACTCATGTAGTCTAATTTACTTAGAAAAAAAAAAAAATTCAATATTATATTAGTTTCTACAAATAACAGAATTAATAAGATAATTGTATTAAACTATTCTTGATTTCAATTTTATTTTAATAAACGCACACTATTTATATATGAATATTATATATTGCGGAATATTATTAATAATATATATATTATATTATAATAATAAAAAAAAAAAAAAAAAAAAAAAAAGAAAAGAAAAGAAAAATAAATAAATAAATAAAATAAAAATATAGAAAAAAAATGCGACCTCCGTGGCTTGAACACGGGACCTTTAGATCTTCAGTCTAACGCTCTCCCAGCTGAGCTAAGGTCGCCAAACATTTAATCCTTCGAACCGGAGTCGAACCAGTGACATGTTGATTACTATATAACTCTACAGTCAACCGCTCTACCAACTGAGCTATCGAAGGATCTTATAAATTTGATTAGCCGAAACAGAATAAAATATATTTGGTATATGTTTTATAAATATTTTTAGTGTTTTTAATTGTTACAGAGTATATTACCATTAAATAGTGAACTAAATATTATCATAATATTATTATATAATTATATAATTATATATTAAACTCAAATTTTACTTATTAAGCATAAATAATTATTTGATATTTTCATAATTAGTATATATACATTTTAATATATATCATTTATAAATTTGCCATTTAAAATTGAATTTCAGTTCTTTACATACTAATGAAAATGCATTTAAAAAAATACGTATATTAAGTATGTATGAAACAAATTAAATTATACTATAATATACCTTCAAATTATATTATATGATTTATTTATTTATTTGCTTATTATTTATCTATTTATCTATTTATCTATTTATTTATTTATCTAATTAATCAATTAATTTATTTTTATTTATTAGTAGGAATAAAAAACACTTTTTTGACTTTTTATTTTTTCATTCAATTTATCAAAATTATATCTTTATTTTAATCTTTTCATTATCAATACTATTATTATTTTACTTTTATAAATATTATCTTTATTATTATAATCATATTTATTATTTTTATTATTATTGAATAAATGTGCTTTCATACTAATATAAATGTATATAATGTATTAAAACATTTTTTCAAAAAACAAAAAGCATTGTATTATGAAAATACCTTTGCTTAGCAAAAATGAACAGAGTGGGATTCGAACCCACGCCTACGAATAGATCACGGCCTTAACGTGACGCCTTAGACCAACTCGGCCATCTGTCCAAGTTGATTTTTTTTTATTTTGAATTTTCATTTCTACCAATACTAAATTATTTTCATACAATATTTACATTATTACCATTATTAAAATAAGAAATGGCAACAAATGCAACACCAAAATTTACATTTAAATATTAATTAATTAATATAAAAACATAAATATTTAAAATATTACTTATCCGAACCCAAATTAAAAAAAGGAAATTAAAAATTCCGCATCGGGGAATCGAACCCCGGCCGCCACGGTGAAAGCGTGGAATCCTAGCCACTGGACCAATGCGGATTTCGTTGTGAATCTCATTTAACTATTTGTTATCTAAAAACTGCCTTGGGAATCTACCATAAATACTATCAAAAATATATACATAAATATATATTCTAAAGAAAAGAATAACAAAAGGGATTAAAAAAGAAAAGGAATACTTTAATTATTAATATTCAATTTCATATGTATTAAATATAAAATATATATTAATTAATTAAATTATAAAAATATATTTAATATTAACATACATCAAAGTTATAACAATCATAGAAGGAAAGAAAATAGAATTAAAAAGAAAAAAATAAATAAATAAATACATATATATATATATATTAATTATATAAATTAAATTTTAAAATTCAATATATACTATTTATAAAGCAACTTTTGAGTTCTTTTCTTATTATAATCATATTTTTAGCGTTTAAATATCAATAAAATAGCTATCATTGAAATAAAAAATATCTATATAAAAAAATTTTCTTTTTATATAATTTCTATATATTTTATTATTATTATTATTATTATTATTATTATTATTATTATTATTATTATTATTATTATTATTATTATTATTATTATTATTATTATTATTATTATTATTATTATTATTATTATTATTATTATTATTATTATTATTATTATTATTATTATTATTATTATTATTATTATTATTATTATTATTATTATTAATTATTATTATTATTATTATTAATTATTAATTATTATTATTATTATAATTATTATTATTATTATTATTATTATTATTATTATAATTATTATTATAATTATTATTATTATTATTATTATTATTATTATTATTATTATTATTAATTATTAACTGTTTTTATAAAAATAATTGAGAAATTATTTAAAAAATAAATAATATTTGTATTAGAAAAGGCATATAATAATTTATTAAAAAATATTTGGATTACAACTGTTATACAATACAAAATATCTCGAAAAAATTTTTAAGGTTGATTTCGTGGTGTAGTCGGTTATCACGTCTGTCTAACACACAGACGGTCCCCGGTTCGAATCCGGGCGAAATCATTATTTGACAGCATGTCCGAGTGGTTAAGGAGTGTGACTAGAAATCACATAGGCTCTGCCTGCGCAGGTTCAAGTCCTGCTGCTGTCGTTTTTGTTTCGTTTTTATATTTTTTTATATATTTAAATGAATTTTTTTAATAAAATACATATCAATTCTTAATTTTTAACATATACTTATATATATTATATATTATTTTATATATATTACATATAATATTTTATGAATAATAGTATTTATGAATTAACTATTATTATTATTTTATGGATATTAATGAATTGAATAAAATATTTTGTAAATATTAATAATTAAAAAAAATATACTGCTTTACTTTACTTTACTTTATTTTAATGAATTAAATAAACAATATATCATTTTATCTTAACTAAGTAAATTAAATGAATTTAATTAAATAACTAACCCTTTTTTATTTTTTTTTTATTAAGTATGAGAATAAAAAATTATAAAAAACGAATAAAAATGATAATAATAATAAACGAAAGAAAATTGAGTAAAGTAAAATAAAAACAGTAAAATTAAACATAAATTGAAAAGATATATGAGAGGAGGAAAAAAATAATCGCCCAACGTGGGGGTCGAACCCACAACCTTGAGATTAAGAGTCTCACGCTCTACCGATTGAGCTAGCCGGGCAAATTAAATGCTCTGTGCAGGGGTCGAACCTGCGACCTTGGCGTTATTAGCACCACGCTCTAACCGACTGAGCTAACAGAGCTATTTGATTTTTCAATTGATTCTATTTTTTAAAATAGGGCAAAGTATATTATATATAATTTTATATATAATATATATTAAAATTTTATAATTAATTTCAAATTTTATATATATTTAATGAATATATATACAAAATATATATATAATAGAATATTAATATTATATAATATATTTCAAATTGTATATACTCAAATATATATTATATATAATTATACATATATAATTATTTTTATCTATTTGTTCACTAATAAATAATAAATAATAAAGCATCAATATTCTTCTTAATCTATTTTAATTATTTAATTTTAATTTATCCATTTTACAATATCTATAAAAACTAAAAACTATTTTAATTAAAATATTATAAAAAATAATAATTAACTAACTAAAAAAATGATAATAATAATAAAATTATCATAATCATAGTTGTTAATTATATAATTTTTTATTAAAGATAGCAATAAAAATGATAGTAATTACTATAATAATAAATAATAAATAATAAATAATAATATAATAACAAATAAAGAACAAACAATAAATAATAAATAATAATGATAATGATGATAACAAACAAAGAACAAACAATAAATAATAAATAATAATAAAAATGATAGAATAACAATAATGATAATTATAATTACTATAATTCTGATTATAATTTAATATATATTTGAATCATAATCGTAAATATATAAAATATATTGAATAAATACATATAATAATTTATAATAATTAAAAATTTAATAAAATACTATTAAATATCTTAATATTAATCTTAATTTTAATATAAAAATATAATTACTATAAAAGTTTTCTTTTTTTTATTATTATTATTAAATTATTATAGTATCAAATAAATTGATTTCACTCAATTAGTAATATAAAAATTTATATTTATAAAATTTTTACTAAAAATTAATAATCTTATAGATAAAATTATCTAAGGAAAATAAAGCAAAAAAAATTTAATTTTTAAATACGGGCTGTTAGTTCAGTTGGATAGAACGCTTGACTACGGATCAAGAGGTCGCAGGTTCAAGTCCTGCATAGCTCGTTTTGATTTCGTGGTGTAGTCGGTTATCACGTCTGTCTAACACACAGACGGTCCCCGGTTCGAATCCGGGCGAAATCATTTTTACGTTTTTTATTTAATTTTTTCATTATTTTCTATTTGCTTTATTCATTTCCCATTTCAATCTTCAATTCATATATATTGATTAGTAGTAATATTAAAATTGCAACATATTAACTAAAATATTAACAATTTTTAAAAAAAAAATAAGAAAAAAGAATGCCAAGAGTGAGGTTCGAACTCACGCCTCTTTCGAGACCGCATCTTAAGTGCGGCGCCTTAGACCGACTCGGCCATCTTGGCTAAACATTGAAAAGTTATATAATTTTAAAAATTTTTAAGGTTTAAGTTACTTCAAGATTAGATATCACTTATTTTAAACGCCTTTAAATAGTTATTTCATATGCTAAAAAATATAAAATTGATTATAAAAATATTATCATTATTATTATTTTCAATAATTCAATAACATTATTAAATAATATTGACCTCATAAACAACATATATCAAATCTTATTTTTTGATTCTTTTCCATTTATTAATCCCATATACTTATTATAATATATATTAATATATAATGAATAATATAAATAAGCAATGATATAAATTTTGCTATTTTAAAGTATACATGTTAAAGATTTCATTATTTTTAATTTTAAATTATATATATGTATAATAAATTAATTGTATCGTTAGGTAATTAAAATTCTTTATTATTTGTTTATGTTTATTATTTTTTTTACAAATAATAAAAAAAATAATTAATATAAATAAAAATTAAAAATAGTCAATAATATATATTAACAATAAAATAAATTCAAATAATTTATTGATATATTATTATATATAATAATATATATACTATTTATGCTTTTATCAATTATATTACTACTACTACTATTATTATTATTAGTAGTAGTAGTAGTAGTAGTAATAGTAATAGTAATAGTACTGTTGTTGTTATCATTATTATTATTATTATGATTATTAGTCATTATTATTAACTATTACTACTTTTATTATTATTCAATTTATACATTTAAAACAGGAATATCTTTATG